TGTGTGTGTGTGTGTGTGTATATATATATATATATATATATATATATATATATATATATATATACATACAGAATTATTTGTCTCCTGCAAAAGACAAAGCATTTAAATCTAGTTTCACCGATTTTTGATGCTTCATTTCTTACCTTTAGTTCTGCTTAATTATGTATTGTACAGCAGTAACCTGTGAGTTGAAGTCAACCACATATGGAGTAAAAAAGATCAAGCCTGCGGGAACAACTATTTTCAGAGCTGGAGAAAGTGTGGAGATCACCTGCTCTGAAAAATACTTCTTCTTTGGTACAAAAGTAACCAGCAGATCATTTACATGCAAAGATAATGGAGAGTGGGACTATGAGCCTGTTTGTGCAGGTAAGATTACAGAGAAACATTTCTGAATTTGGTGATGAATTTATTGCATGTTGCTAAAAGCATGTGAATCTTGTTTCAGAGATTACATGTGAAACTCCATATGGCCAGCATGTGTATTACCCATCCTATTCCTTCAGTGGAGATAAGAAACTGGGAACATTAAAATCGTACAGTTGTGAGTCTGGATATCGTCAAACAGCAGGAGAGGCCACATGTACACGAGATGGATGGACACCAAAACCACTGTGTGCTGGTATGTTCTGCTGTGGAGTATTAAAATCTTTGCTACTTCCATAATATAAATTATATGATTATGCTGATTTGGTGGTATGGGACAGTTTATTGACATGTTGCCTCTAATTCCATTGAATGTCATGAAACAAGAATTTTTGCAGTATCCAATCCAATTATTATGTATCTGTGCATTGATGAGATGTAATTAGTATCATGGATGTCTTACAGAAATGTGTGCAGCACCTAACATCCCAAATGCAGACATTGTTCGAGGTCAGAGCCAAAAATACGGAGTCAATTCAATAATAGTATTTAAATGTCATCCTGGATTTGAACCAGAGGAGCTTTTTGAAATCATCTGTGATTACCAGGGCCAGTGGACAGGCTTACATCAGCAATGCGGTATGTTACAGTTTATTGAATTTTGTCTTTAATTCCGTTGAATGTTGTGATACAACTTGACTTATTATTCAGTCAATTCATCATATATCTGCACAATAATCACTCAAAAACATATTAAATCAAAATTTTGAAATGTTTTTTTCTCGCAGCAAAGTCTTGCCGTGATCTATCTGTGACAAATGGCTTCACAGGCAGCCAATCCTCCAACAAGGAAGCAATCTTTTACTCCTGCAACACGGGTTATAAACCATTCACTGGAAACTGGTGGGATTCAGTGACATGCAGCAAAGGATCTTGGTCTGACGAGCCTCGCTGCATCCGTGAGTTTTATTATTGTCAGTCTCAGGTGTTTGAGGAATGATAGTGCACTGAAAATGCTTCCTGTCGTTGGTCTTTTCAGGAGAGGAAGAATGTGGTGCTCTTCCTAGTGTTCACCATGGAAAACTAAAGCAAACCCGTCGTGATCGAGAAACTGCTGAAGTGGAATGTGATCCAGGGTTCATATCAACTGAACCCTTCATAAAATGCACCAATGGTAGATGGGAGACACCAGTGTGTAAGGGTGAGTCTCTCAAACTCTTATTACATGTTTGTAATAGGAGCAGCTGTGCATACAGTGGGCTGGACAATATAATCTCTCAACAATATTAAAATCAGTCTTATTGGAGTTCATGAATTTCAATACATAATTTTTTTTCAGAGGATGTGCGTTGTGGCATTCCTCCAAATGTGGAAAATGCAGTCATAACATCTAAACCTGAAGAATTTTATCCTGATGGATCTAGCTTAACATACATATGTCGAAGCTCATACTTTATCAGTGGAGAAAGAACAGTTTCCTGTCACAATGGAACATGGGGAAAAACACCAACATGTCAAGATGAAGGTATTTTAAAGTATTTTAAAACTTCTTACAGATTTTAAAATATCATTCACGTACAGTGTGTGAAAATCAAGAGAGAAAGATATTTAGATACTTGAAAATCAAGAAGAAGACCTTTAAATGCCCAGAAACTTTTGTAGTAGTGATGACAATAATTACAAAATAAATTTGCTTTGAAGACCCAGTGAAAACAGAATTTGAGTTTTGGCACTTTTAGTCTATCTGCACTAGATTAATATGCCAATGTAATGGTAAACATTATCAGTTTATCTTTAATATACGCTTTTAAATTTGACTTGTCTTTTCTTCTGGGAAAACATGAAAAAGTATTGATGATAGTCTGTAGTGGACAATTTCTGTCTCCTCGTGGAAAACAAACACTTGTAAAAATAAAAATGGCCTGAAATGACCATTATAACCAGTAGATGGCAGCAGATGACAACTCATTAGCTGAGCTGCCATTTCCACTCCCTAGGTCTTTTCACATCTTGCTTTAAGGCTTATTATAAAATGACTATTATAACGAATTTTAGTATTTCTATTATACATAAGTATGAAGTATAGGAAGGTCAGAAAGTCACAAAGTCTCATGTCATTTCAAAAAAATTAAAAATAAACAAGCCCAGACCCCAACAGCCAGTTGTTTTTAAACATTTTAAACTAGTTAACTACACATCAGTTAAAGTTAATTATAGTGCTATAATACTTACATAATAATGTATTAAATGCCTTTAACAGATTTAATTTAAAAACACTTTTTTAAACAAAATGACCGATATAAGGTTGTTTTTTTATCTTTAAATGTAGAAGCTGCTAATTGTATTGAGTCAACACAGTCTTGTTGCTGTTTTAGGTTTGTTACTCTGCACTTACAATACAACACTTAATGCACAGGTCTATTTTAACATCGGCTTGTAAGATTTTGTCAGGTTTTGTTCAGTCAGTTGATACCGTTATCAGTGACTACATTTAAATGCGCACCAATAATCTGATTATTTCCACTAATCAGAATAAAGCCTTTTTTATAAATAAAAAATATTTTAATATTTTATATATAAAGATATTTACATGACAAAAGCAAACCTCTTCATTTCCCTGTACGTTTGTTTTTTCATTATTTCATTATTTGCTAAGTGTGGTTACTTTTATTGCCAATACAGTTACAGTCCCAATAGTGTCTGGCTGCAGACTTACATATGCACTCTGCGTTCTGGTCGACTGATTATTTAAATTTTTTCCCTTATGAATTTGTTTGATTCGGCATTCTATATGCATATACGTATGCTTAGGTTGTTTTAAATATCTAAAAAAAATAATATATCATAGAGTTGTTTGGAGTGGGGGTAAATCTGCAGTTACGTCACAATCATGTTGCATTGTGGTGTATGGAGAAGTCTGAAGTCTACATATGAAGTAGACTTGCTTGTTCAGTCAAAATCGAGGAGTTGAGGGTCTGTCCATATAAACTTCACTCATCCACTTCACAGCAGAATTTGAATGAAACCCAAAGCCCCTCGTTAAGAATTTTCTACCCGTAGAAAAACCATTAACACTTAATATGGCTGTTAATAAAAATAACATTTGGTCCCTCGATATCTCTTTGCCACCGTGAAATCTTCTCAGTCCCTTAAAGTGTATATACGGCCGGGAAGCAAGAAAACACACATTCAATGTATTATCAATACTTCAACTTTATTCATAGATACAAAGATATTATATAGGCATATGTCGAGGGGAGTTTCACCCTCTTAACCAATGAGGATATGAATGACATACATATAGGATCTTTGGCCAAGGACATGTGTTTATATAAAATGGCCACATGTACAGAAAAACAGGGACATATTAGGAATAGACTTTTGCGAAGGATGCTGAACTCTCTTCAGAGTTCCTCACGAACTCCTTTACCTTGTAGTCCTAGCATTCATCTCCTTATTTGGGCATTTGAACCAAGAAAAGCTAATGTATACATGTGCGCATGCATACCTCGAATATGAGTAAGAGATATAATACAAGAGAGAGAGAGAGAAACAGATAGAGGAGGGGGGATTCAGAGAGAGAATGTGTTGTATAGGGAAGAGTGAGAGAGAGGAAAAAAGAAAAGGAGGGGTAAAACATCTAGAACCATTCTCAAGACAGAGAGTGTTTTCTAACAATGGCTTAATAAATTAAGACAGGGATATTAAAAGACCAAATTCAATACACAGCTTAATAAAATGCACTAAGGTAAGCAGATGACAGAATATGCACAGAACACACAAAAGCTTCACATTAACTGTTTTCCTCACATACCGCTAAAGATTGTGGCATAACGGACTAAGATGATAAAAACCACATTCAGTATCAGTATCAGTCTCCATTGGCAACATGCATGATTTGTGTTGATTGCAAGTGACATCACAAGAAGCCAGGGCTGGACTGGGACAAAAAATAAATAAATCAGCCCTGGCATTTTTAGGGCAGAACATTTAGCAAATTACTCTGCAGCACTTATATTATTGCACTGGTTGGCTATTAACTGTGAACAGATAGAGTGTCAATCAATGCATTGGAGAATACGGCGAACATACGTAAAGAAACAAAGTTGCTTGTCAGATTTCCCTAACAAGCAGCCATATTTTTTCAAATAAGCCAACAAAACCGCGACCCGGGATTTTTTTAAGCAACTTTACAAAAAAAGAAGCCCAAAGTCACATATAATATGCAGACTTGGAAACTCTGAAACTAACCAGTAGGCTGTCTACAACAACTAGGGATGCACCAGTCATGATTTTTCATGGCCGATTCCGATTGCCAGCAAATGGGCTGATTCTGATACTGACCGTACACGCATTACAATAAAACGAAATTATATCAAACACCACTGCCTTGTCGTTTTCTTCAAAATATAAAACACAACCCTCATTTCGTTTTCATTTAAAAATATATAAAACATATTAATATGTGGTTTAGGTAATATGTGCACATATACTATGATTATCTTCACTGTATAGCCTATAATAAAATGAAATATGACAAGCACAACTCTGCCTTTTTTGTTAAATGTCAGTTTTAATGAACAATAATTGCCATTATAAAAGAATAAGTATAAAATATAAGAGACTTATGTAATAGGAAATAAAGACAAAAGCAAACTATTCGGTCAAATGTATGCAACAAAGTCAGCGTTGTATTACGATTTATAAATAAATAATTTATGAAACATAACTTTGTGCTCAGCCAAAACAATATGACCTGGAAGAAATAATAGATTCATGAGACCAAAGATTGCCTGTTAGATTTACCCAAAACGAATTGTACCTCATGTTTAACCACTACCAGAGACATCAGAGCCAGCAGCAAATATCAGAAGGACTAGCCGAGGTTAAGCTCCTCTCGTCGGGATACATGAGCACTGAGTGCCCGGTGATCGCGTGGAGCTCACGTCTCCGAAATCAGCGAAGCACATTTTCAAATAGGCGCTATCGTTATAAATAAACTGCATATTTGAGTTTTAAACAACTACATTCTTGCCTGAAATACTCTTAGAACCGCATTTCATGACACAATAACAGTAATATTTTGAAAATTATGCGGGTTTTCTCCTCCGCCATTAACGCTCGCTTGGTTCCCCAATCAGTCTCATTAATTAGTTGTCAGTACGGTGTTCAGTCTCATTAATTAGTTTTCAGTACGATATTCCAAACACCACACACACACATACACACACACACATCACAATATTTTGAAAATTATGCGGGTTTTCTCCTCCGCCATTAACGCTCGCTTGGTTCCCCAATCAGTCTCATTAATTAGTTGTCAGTACGGTGTTCAGTCTCATTAATTAGTTTTCAGTACGATATTCCAAACACCACACACACACATACACACACACACATCACAATATTTTGAAAATTATGCGGGTTTTCTCCTCCGCCATTAACGCTCGCTTGGTTCCCCAATCAGTCTCATTAATTAGTTGTCAGTACGGTGTTCAGTCTCATTAATTAGTTTTCAGTACGATATTCCAAACACCACACACACACATACACACACACACATCACAATATTTTGAAAATTATGCGGGTTTTCTCCTCCGCCATTAACGCTCGCTGGTTGGAGTGAAATGCATTCTGGGATACCTGGCTGCCTCAAGTTCGCACAAGTCACCTCTGGATGCATCTTACATAAGTAAGGGGCGGAGCAAGAACACATCCGGGGATTTGAACTGTACTTGGCTAGATGTGAACTTTGAATTGGACTACTTTAACACTGTTGCCGCGGGTTGTTTTTCATGTCCGTGGGTTTAAGCGACCCCCATAACGTGATATTTAGTCCCTAAAATGCAAATTTTACCAGGGGAACCCCACCAAAAACGTGTATTTTACCCCACCGGAATGCGATTGGGCTAGTTTTGAGTAGCAATTTGACGGGTTTTGCTGTGAAAACCTGGCAACCCTGTACTTGTGCGACGACTGATGACGTTTCACAAGTCCACAAGAACACAAGTACAGACAAGAACGCATATTGAGAAACAGCCATAGACATCAAAGGGGGCTTGAGCACCTGCCCTTTTTTCTGGGGAGTGTTTTTTTTTTTTTATAAATTAATATATGTGCGCTGGTGTGTGTGTTTCTGTTTGCGCACAGCTTTCCCTGTCAAACTAATAAAAAAATCTAAATATCAGGTCGGGTCGGGAAATGTTGAGACGTTGAGACTCTGTCGAGTTCCGATGCCTTTCTCCCCTCCGCGTCTCCGCGCAGCACGGCAGTGTAGCACACATTGATCAGCACATGCACATCACAGACAGGCAGAGAGCCGCAGAACTGAAGCCCTCCCTCCTTTTACAGTTGTCTTGGTGTGGAGGTGAGTGGTGATGAAAAAAAAAAACCTTGGTATTGTCATTCTCTGTGCTTTAAAAAAATGTTTTCTTGCTTATCTGAAAAGTCATCCATGACTCAAAAACCACAATATGATCCGTTATGCATATATATATATATATATATATATAAACCTCACCCCCTCCAGCCGGTCCACGGAAAAAGGTCGGAGACCCCTGGTTTACATTATGCATTCGGCATAATTAAAACAATGCCTTCACTTCAAATATATGTATTTTATTATATCTCACTTGAGTGAATGCAGACAACGTAATTAATAGTCATGAGTCAATAGTCAACAGCTTATTAGACCATATCGCGTTTCATAATATAAGTAGAATAATTAATAGTAGTATTTTTTTATTATTATTATTTAGATTTTTATTACAGAAACACTGAATTATCAATAATGTGTCACGCATCACTACCATATAAAAATAAATGCTTGATTGACTGAAGTTTTGTTATGCTTTCAACTGTATTGCAACACTTTGTATATACTATTTTGCATATTGCTCAAATATTTTGCATAATGTTAGAGAACATTATTTTATATTATATTATATATTTAACTGCAAAATATTGTTGCATAATTAATATTGTGTTCATATTTTATATCATTTCATATTTTGTTGCAATTTATTACATATTTTATTTTATAATACTATTTTTTTATATTGCTACATAAAATGCAGCACAGTAATCAAATTGATCTGTTCACATAATGAATTAAACTTCCCAATAATAGAGACTTCATGTGATGTTATGCTGATGTGTGTCAGAATACTTTCGTAACAGTGAGGAGTTTTCAGAGCCACACGCTGCTCCTGCTGGTAGATTACATTTACATTTAGCCATTTAGCAGACGCTTTTATCCAAAGCGACTTACAAATGAGGACAATGGAAGCAATCAAAATCAACAAAAGAGCAATGATATACAAGTGCTATAACAAGTCTCAGTTAGCTTAACGCAGTACACATAGCAAGTTTTTTTTTTAATAATAATATAATAAACAAACAAAAAAACATATAGAATAGAAAAAGAATAGAGCAAGCTAGTGTTAGAGGTCTTTTTTGGAGATTAGGCCTAGTCTTTTTTTTTTTTTTCCTCATCTCTTTAACCCAGTTTTCCTAGTTGTAATGCTGCATGCGCAATAGCATATAACATAGGTCTTCAACCCTGTTCCTGGGGACCCACTGTCCTGCAGAGTTCAACTCCAACCCTAATCAAACACACCTGAATCAGCTAATCAAGGTCTTCAAGATCACTTGAAAAGTCACAGGCCAGGTGTGCTGAAGCAGGTTGGAAATAAACTATGCAGGACAGTGGGTCCCCAGGAACAGGGTTGAAGACCTATGCCATATAACAAAAATGTGATTGTTATGCTAAACCACATTGGAATTCAAAGTTTCAATCAGACCAGAACAAAAAAAAATAACTCTTTCATGTGTTGGGAGTGGATCTACATTACAAGGGCAGAACAAAATCACCTGTCAATAAAATGGAGAATGGGACGTCCCATTCCCGAAATGTATTGGTAAGGTTTACTTAGTCAAGTTTTATTAGCAGTGTCTGCAAGTATCACTATTGCTCATTTTAAAGTAGATGCTAAAGTTTGGTACAAAACTCATCAGCACACAAGTTTCTCTTCACTTGAGCCAAGAAGCAAACAACTAGCAACCGCACAAAACAACCTATAAACTAGCACTGAGGTGACAAGTTTGCATGGATAAACAAACTCAAATTTTCAAATTTCTGAATTTAATTTGGATCTATTATAACATATTACATTACCACATGTGTATATCATATCATATAATATATTTTGAATATCTCTTCAACATATTGTGTCTCAAACATTTTATTCAGATTACCTCATTCTCAAATTTGTAATGTGTATTAAATATATAACATGTTCTATGCTTTAGGTCAGATCCCCACTTGTGGACCACCACCAGACGTGAACGATGCAGATACAATAGAAATAACAAGAAAAGAATACAATACAGGGGAGAGAGTTGAATACAGCTGCTTTAATAAATTCACTTTGGATCTGCGTCAATCTTTCTCCAAATACTTGACCTGTGAGCAAGGAGAATGGAGAGGGAAGATTAGGTGTTTAAGTAAGTATGAACACGCTTCACCATATATATCATATAAACACATCATGATGTAATCTTGTAGTTTAAGTTGTAGGTTGTGATGATTAGTTAATGAATGTATATTGTGACACTGATAGAGACATGCTGGGTTTATTTCAGAGCCCTGTACAGTGACGGTGGAGGAAATGGATAGAAGAGGTATAGAGTTGGCCCATGTTAATCGGCAAAAGATGTTCGCACCACATGATGATCACATCAACTTTATGTGTAAGAGGGGCAAAGTTTCAGTAGGTTCTGCCCTAAGACAACAGTGTAATGATGGAGTGATGGCTTTACCTGAGTGTGTGAGACAGTGAGAGTAAAACATTGTTGAAGCAACAAAAATAAATGTAGCAAATAAAAAAATATTGTTCCCAATTCAATTTCTAGATTTTGGATTTATTGCAAGTAAAACTAAAGAAATGCTAAAAGCAACATTTAAAATGTGCATGTTAAAAAAGACATTAAACCATTTAATGCCAGCTAAGGGATATGTACAATATGTATTAAATAAAATAATAAAAATAAAAAGTAGCAAAATCTCTGTAAGACCAAAGACAAAGTTGCAAATTATATATACTTTTTTTTTTTACCTTTCTGACAATGAAATGATGCTCTTAGTTCCCCACCGATTACAAATTTGACCACTACATGCTTTTATGTATTATGATCATGATTTATATGAAAGAGCAATAATACATAAATAATGGACCTTTTAATATCGGTATGCATTAAACTGTATTGACACATTTTCTGTGCATCCTTTATGGAGATTTGACACAGTCATCATCATCATCTTTTAAAAAGACAAACTGGAATGCCAGCCATGCCATATGAAATGTTCTGCACTTTCAGAGATGACAATCTACTGTATGTAAAATATCTCAACTCTTTTTAGGCTCTTAAAAAAAACTAATATTATTGTACAAACATGACCAAAGTTGCAGTTCTGTTCTGATGAAGCCCAGTATTTAGACTAAAGACAGCTAATTTAATTGCAACATGAATTTGTGAGGAAGAAAGCTATCAAGTTTTCATCAAATCCTTGTGGGGTGGAGCAGAGTCCTGTTTGGTGTGTCAGAGGGAAGGGGACGGTTGCTTTAAGCTACATTACAAAGACTTCAAAGATTCATATCACCACCGCTCTCGAGACTGATCATGAATGCATCTTTTGGAAAACAGGTAATCTGAGGTTTTCATTGGAACTAATTTATGTTTAATACTGCAGAAATTTTTGCATTGATTTGTGTTAAATAAGGATAAATCAGCCTTTAATGACTAAATATTTGGTAGGTGATTCAGTCGTTTTAAACATCCAATATACTGCACAATAAATAATAATACCATGTTTGCATATCAAACATACAAAAAAAGAAGGAGAATCAATGTGGGGTCACATTACACAACAGTCCACTAGGAAGAATCCTTGACCACTCTGTTTCAATTACAAAACACATGCACGAGAAGTGATACAGGGCATGTAAGACTCCTCCCCCCTCGCCTTCTATCGTGTTCTCTGATTGGCTGTAGGCTACCGCCGATGTCATTTAACCAAAATGTCTCTCAGGCCAATGTCCTTGAAGCGTTTTTTTTAGAAGGGTGTAGGGCATTACGGTCTCGTATAAGTGCTTGGAACTCCCTTGGTGAAGGGAATGACTGACCAGTGACTGAACAAATGTTACCTTAACAACACTGCATGTGTGTGCAGCATTCAGTATTCCATCAGTTGTTGCAAATAAATATTTCTTCTTATTATTTTATTCAAATGTTGTCTAATTGGGTCTTATTTACTATTGAACTTTTTCAAACTAAACTTGCATAAACTTGCTCACACAACCTCTTAACCGTCTTAAAATCATATTTCCATCTCTGACGAAAAATATTTTGTATTACATTAAAGGGGTGGTTGATTGCGATTTCACTTTTTTAACATTAGCTAGTGTGTAATGTTGCTGTTTGAGCATAAACAATATCTGCAAAGTTACAAAGCTGAAAGTTCAATGCAAACTGAGAAATCGTCTTTTAAAATTCTGGCAGTTTAATGGCTACAAAAACGTCTGGTAGAGACTACAACAAGTTACTTCCCGGGTTCGTGACGTAACAAACCCAGATAAACCCCACCCTCGGGAAAAAGCAACAAAGGGGGCAAGGCCATGCTGCGCTGCTTTAGAGAAGAGGAAGAGAAAACTAGAGGTGCACATAAAAATCTATTCATATATGAATCGCGATTCTGTCTTCTAACAATTCTAATGGATTCACAAGTTTAGAAATTAATGTTCTAAAGCAGCGGCTCTTAATACGGTTCCTCGCGTTCCCCTGCTCTGCACACGCTCTGCATCTCTCTCTCGCTCTCTCTCTCATTCAGCTCCGCTCCAACAATGAACTGTTACATTTATACACTTTTCACATAGCTATGAGAAGCGTTAAACATTGTGTGCAGTTGCTGTACTGTATTAAAGCTTTAATCAGGATAAAACCGTATATTAAAAGCAAACATAAGCAGTAGCATTTACAAATAACAGCATATCTAAAAGTATGAGACAACAACAAACAAAAAACATAGGCCTACCATTAAAAGCTGTGCTTGCACAGGTTCTGCATGATCCTCTTCAGTAATATCCTCTGCTTTTCAATCAGGCTCAAACTGATAAGCGATATTAACGATGCCGTTGTTTACAATACAACAGGAGCACATGCCGCTGAGGTGAGGGGTGGGACGTTTAGACACGCACTAGAGGCGGTTTAGCCAATCACGACACACTGGGCTAGCTAACCAATCAGAGCCTATCACCTATTTCTGAGGGCGGGACTTAATAAAAGCAGGAAATGATCAGCGCGTTTCTCAGAGAAGGGACAGAGCGGTGTGGAATAAAGGTAAATTGTGAAAAATGTGTTTGTTTGTTTTTAAAACAAAGCACTAACACGTGTTAGACTGCACTCCATACACACAATAAAGCCTAGGAAAAAACCAGTGAACCACCCCTTTAAAGTAAAGACAAATTTACTTATTCTACTTACATTTGTATGTGAAGTGAAAATCAACCCCAAATTTGCAGCTATACCTTTCTCAACTTTGCTTTAAAATGCGTCGCAAGAACTCGTAACCGAAGATCACATGATCACAAAGTGACCATCGCATGTTCCCTTCGCTAACGGACTTCTGGAAATGCCCTTCGTTAAGGGATTCAGTTGTTCACTTTCATTTGGAACATCCTGACAAATGGCATCCCCTTCCTGAAGTGCCCTCCAAGGGTGTAAAAAGCTGTTTGGAATTCTGTCAAAATTATGTCACTGCGGTCACAGGCATGAATATATGAGTTAAAGATACATCGATCCGTTACCGCGTGGAGCACCCCCTGGCGTGCAGCCCAAGAAGGGGGCTGGGGGTGCGGTGTTAGAATAAATAAATGAAAATTTTGTAACAAAATAAATAAAACAATATTCATTATAATTAATAGAAAAAAGAATCCTAAGCCTACGATGACAATAAGCAACAGTAAAACATGAATTAAGTTTAATCAAATTGATTGTGAAAGTCGTTTCAACTTAAACTGACTTGGGTAGTAATTTGTTGCCATGACCTTTTGATCATATTATTACTGTACCTGTAACATGTCTGTGCCATACCTAAATCAAGAATTAACGACCATTTCTACAGCCATTTTAAAGATACAGCAGAGAAAGATCAAGAGCGTCTATTTACCTCAGCAGCAACCAATCTCGCATTCTCGCGGTGGCCGACCACAGCGCTTATTTTGACCTTTAAAGGGGTCATATGATGCGATTTCAAGTTTTCCTTTCTTTTTGGAGTGTTACAAGCTGATTGTGCATAGATAAGATCCCTGAAGTTGCAAAGACTAAAGTCTCAAAACCAAAGAGATATTCTTTATCAAAGTTAAGACTCTGCCACGCCCCCCTAAAACGGCTCGTTCTTTTTTCTGGACTCCTTTTTAATGGTTAAATTACATTTTATTAATCAAAAAGCATGTCTAATTAATTAAAATCATGAAACTTAAACAATTTAACATTCATTTATTAAAAGTTTAACAAATATTACGTTTAGGGCCCTATGAAATGTTTTATTTGTCCAACCTTATGTTTTATTGTGACCAAATTCTGTTTTAGCATGTCTAATTTGAAAGCATAAAACAAGTTTCATTTATTCTTACAATAGCCTTATGATTTTTTTGCTCAGAAATTCTGTGTTGTGTATTTACATTTTGTTTTAAGGCACAAAACATTCATTTGATCTATCTTTTAAGTAATGAAAATTAAACAAATTTAATTTTTTGGAAAATAAAGGTCATTTAATATTACAATTAAAACATTGAAGAAATATTGAATGCTTATTCCTTAAAAATAAGGTTTTAATAATTTTAGTAGTAGTAGTAGCAGTCTGTTACGTACATTCTACTCAACAAATGTAATATATTTCTGCCGCAACGCCTTCAAGTTAAACCGAACTTTTATTTTGACGGGTTGCCGTGAATACCTTTACATTTCTGTGTGTGTATGACATGATGATAGTTTTACTCAAATGAAACGCTCATGAAGTGACTCTCAGAGCAGTTCTGGAGATGTTGTTCTTGTGTTTATGTCCTCATTAGTGAGACGGCAGACATTAATATCACCGGAAGCGTCACGAGCGTTTCAGTACGAGTACTACACAAAACCCCGCATCTGCGCCATTCATTAACACAGAGACACGCAGAATTCATATTTAAATATGAAACGTTTTGCGGCTTAATATTTACAAATACTAGTGGGAGTGTGCTCACTTGTGTTTGTGTGTGTGTGTGTGTGTGTGTGAGCGCGCGCATCGGGCGGAACTCCTCTGTGCGTGATACAGAGAGCGTGACCATAACGTAGAGACTGAAGTGACATGCCGTCGTGTAAATAAGATAAATAACATAAGGCTATTAGTTTGCTTAATGAAAGAACAAGGTATAGACATGTTCTATAAGAAAGGTAACTTTAATGACTTCTGTTGTGATCTGGCGCTATAGAGAAAATATAATTAAATAAAATGTTCCTGCTTGAACTGATGGTAAAACTAATGACATTATTTGAGTCATTCCACGAACCCGGTACGATTTGAGTCCCTCTGACCTTTTTAAGTGTATTTTATTTATTGGGTCACCAAAATCTATTTTTAAAAGCTTTTTGTATTAATTGAAATGTCTCCTTTAATAAGGTTTAAAAACAAGACATACATTGTATCTTTATATTTGAAATTATCTTGTTTTTTTCAGTTGACACCACCTATTTTATCATGTCCCTCATGACCTTCTATGAAAGTGTACTTGGGATATGAATAATAAAATTAGAAAAAAGTCGATACATTTTGCCATTCTTATAAATATCTATCTGTGCTTTTTTGCTG